TCGCCACCCTGAGTACATGACTTGCCTTGTGAAATCCTACGACCTCCGGAAGAAATTGAAGGAGGACCTCGTAGAGCAGACAGCCAAGGACCCGGAACTCAGTTCCATCCTTGAACAGCTGCGGGCTGATCCTAGTAGTCAGCCTGATTTCCACGAGTATGGAGGACTGATTTTTCGCCGATACGGGAACCATGACCGTTTGTGTGTGCCCAACCACGAGCCTCTCCGCACACACTTTCTGGACTTGGCTCATGGCCGGAGCGGGCACTTCGGCATAGCGAAAACGTACGCTAACCTGCTGAGACAGTTTGATTGGCCTGGCATGAAAGGGACTGCTGAGAAATTTATAGCTGAATGTCAAGTCTGTCAACGAATCAAACCATGCAGACAAAAGCCCATGGGGCTATTCACACCCCTACCCATTCCTGATGGTCCCGGGGAGTCCGTCTCCATCGATTTCACTGACATGGGTCAGGTAAGCAAGAATGGGTTTTCACAAGTCATGGTGATTGTTGACCGATTTTCAAAGTTTCTTAATCTGATCCCTCTACCGCCTCACGCCCCAACAGATCTAGTGATTCGCGAATTCCAGCAGAAATACCTGCTGCAATTCGGAACCCCGAAGACTCTTGTGAGCGATTGGGACCCGCGTTTCATTAGCGCTGAATGGAAGGAGTTCACGTCTCACCTAGGAATCAAACTGTGCATGACATCTGGCCGACACCCCAAAGCCAACGGTTTGGCTGAGGAGATCAACCAGACTGTATTCCAACTACTTCGTGCTTTGATCATTCCTGATCAGGAAACATGGGATGAGGAGCTGTATTCTGTCAAGGGGTTGTACAACAACTCCGTCCACTCTACCACCGCCACAACGCCCAACAGGCTGCACTACGGGTGGCAGATCCGCAATCCGCTCTCCTAATTGTTCCCTGAGCAGCCAGCTGGTTTAACACCCGGCAGGCCCGGCTTCAGGGCTAAGTATGATCGCTTGCTCAAAGTTGTTGTTGCAGCTATGACCAAGCGACAGCATGCCATGATCCATCATGCGAACAAGAAGCGCAAACCATCGGAGGTTCATGTAGGAAGTTATGTCTGGGTAAAGATGTTTGAATTCTCAGAGGAGGGAGTCTCACGCAAACTCCTCCCACTCTACTACGGGCCTTGGGAAGTTTTGGATGTAATCGGGGAAGATCACTTTGGCCCTTCGTACGTTGTGGACGTGCCTGCTCACCWGCGCACATATCCCGTGTTTCACGCATCTAAACTGAATCTCCATCGTGATGCCGAGACATTCGATTATCGTGAAGATATGATCCCTCGCGCAATCAAGGGCGGGCATGAGATAGACAGAATCAAACAGCATGTAGGTAAAGGGAGAAACAGACAGTACCAGGTTCATTTTATGTATCACCCGTTAGATGATCTCTACTGGATCTCCAAACAGGAACTGCTACACAGCGCACCACGCGTTGTTAAGGCTTATGAGCGACAGATCGCCGCTAACGCCACCCCAAAGATCGCAGCAAAGCTCTCTGCAACAGAGTATTCTAGGAATCTTTTTGCCTTGCTCGCCTACGATGCGTTTGCCAAGGACTCAGAATGAGTTACTCGCTCGAAGGGACCTCGCTCTTGAGGGGGGGGTAGTGTGATAACCCGTCAAAACACGAACTGCAACACACAGCTCGTTTATGAGTTTTGCTCATAGACTGGATGCCCTACTGAGCTCCCCGCCTGCTAAGTCTATGTGTGTGTATGCTTGCTGGACTGCATGTCTGTCTGAGTGCTGGTTGGCTTGCGTGTGTGACCGTGCCTGCCTGAGTGCTGGTTGGTATGAGTGTGCGTGTGTGTGGCCCGTCAGGGCACTTGTTCGTTCATTGGGCCCCAGGGCCGGTACTTACCTGTGGCCGTGGCTTTGAAGGGTTGCAGCAGGGGAAAAAGCACGCAAGTAGCGGGTAGGCCGGTACCGCAACCGGTAGGGGGGTAAATATGCAGGGACCGGAGGCCGAGCAGAAGAAGACAAAAGTGGCATTTTTAGAGTCCGGTAGTGTAGGCTAGGTCTAGCGGGTACCAGTCTGAGTCTAAGGCCTGTAGGGGCAATATCAGAGTTTGCAATGATGTTCCCTCCAAAAATAGGAGGAGGTACTGGTTGCTTGGGAAGGCCAGTGGCTTGGAAGTCACCGCCCAAGAGGCAAGCAGGCCGCTATATCTTCTGGCCGGGCGGTAGACCCAGCCTCTTTTTCGGTGTGCAAGTTTGGCGACACACTGGTGGAGCGTTGGAGGGAGCAGCGCTGGGTTGGAGCTGCGCTGTTGGGGAGGAAGAAAAAGGACACGAAGGAGGAAGAAGGAGGAAGGAAGGAGGAAGGGGGAGGAGCGTCAGGGGTACTTACCTGGCTATGGTGACAGCCATCTTCATCACCTTGGTGGGCGCTGCTGCAAGGAGTCCCCAGCCGGGGGAGCTACACCAAGAAGCTTCAAGGCAGGGCTGGGCATGGCGGCCTGAGCTGGAGCAGCCATAGCTGCTCTGAGTTGTCCCTTGGACATCGGAGCAAGGCCTAGTAGTCCGCCATAGCCTCGGCCTATGTATGTGAAGAGTGGGGGAGGCAGCCATGGCTATGGTGGACCTTGAGTGATACCTGCAATAGAAAAGGGACTCGGACATGATTCTGGACCAGTCATTCAACATTGTATTATTATTTCTTGTATGAATAAGAGAAGAGGGAGATAAGGAGGAGGAGATTGTTGGGCGAAGAAGAAGAGCCTTGTCATTGTGTTTGCTGGTGTACATCTTCTTCTTCTTCTTTCTTACTTCTTCTTCTTCTTCTACTCCTCTCTCATCTCTCAAGTTCATTCATTTCTTTCTGCAATTGGATGGCATTGTACTTCTCAGTGGATGTGTATCTCGAAATTGGCCAGGGTCATAACAATATCTCTATTGTATCTCTACTTATGTAGTAGGGACGTTGGGCTCCTTTCCCAGTAGGTGTTGCTCCCTACCAATGAGATTAGAGCCATCTACACTATGATGTTAGTGGCTGCTGCTCGTACCACCACCACTAGCACACTCAGATGATGTTATTAAAAAAAAAAAAAAAAATCCCCTCCAAGGTGTTGACTTTGACTTTGTGCTAATTGCCGATGTTAGGCATCACTGCAAGGTGCAAGTACCACCACTCACGCCAACCAGCGATCTAAGGACTACCAACATATTGAATATCCTCAAGAATTTTGTAATGTCGGAATCCTGACAACTTGGCTCGATGATAAGTGGGCGACTCCCTCTTAAAACTTAGACTGGTCAGTTGTCTGAGTTGACACGGTTCCTCACACGCTGGTCGGTACATGTCATAGGGATGCATGGATTGTTCAACGGGAGCCCGCCGCTCAATTCATGTGCAACTCCTTTATGTGTTCACGTGCCTGAATGAAGACCTCATTTATTTAGTCAAGTAACCCACCTGACAACCTGGACCTAATTGGCGACAACAATAAAAACAGCAGCTCATTCGAGGAAGGATTGAGAACATCCATACATTGATAGAGCTCAAGTCTTGCAACGCATTGAAGATTAGGGATTTGTTAGTACTTCACTACGGGTAGGTCCATGAAGATCACCACAATGTGCTTTGTGCTGCAATAATTGCCAAATCCCCTCACGTTGACTACTTCTTCTTCGGTATTCTCCTTCCTTCTCGTCACTACTGCTGCACGCCCACTGCGCTTTTTTCCAAATGCATGCGACAGTTTCCAGTTCTCCAGTGAATTGAGAGCACCATCCATCGAACACTTTCACTGGATTCTCACACAAGATTGAACACACATGAAGCACACATGTGGCATGGACTCAAAATAGTCTCTGCAATCAACACAAGTAAAACCAATCATCTTCCTTAGCCTTGCGGCTACGGATGAATTGCAAGGCTAAGGATGCTCGCAACACAGGTAAGTCTCTTCTCTTTTTCTCGCTTCTTTCTGTCCACACTCTATGCTCACACAGCCTCGCACTCTCTCTCTGATTGCCTTCCGCTCACCCCACTCTCTTTGACACACACTCAAGCTAAGCTATGGCACAAGGCGCCGTTGACTATGGTACGACCTTCTCTGCTCATCCCTTTTTGTAACACACAAAACCACAACAGTGTTTCCACATCAAGGATGCAAGATTGTGTTGACGTTGGCGACTCCCAACTTTTGTACTTTGGTACAGTCTTGAATTGTGAGCTCTGATCTTGACCTCTTTGCTTGTGGCCGCGGTTAGTCTTTGACAATCCAGAATGTTTCAGACTTTCCCGGACGGAGCTGCGACTGGCAGACGGATAGAGCAGCCTAGTCCTGTGGATTGTAGGACCCTAAATATAATGCCAACTCTTGGTACGACCTGAGTCTAAACTTACGGCCTAGTCTGTACGGCCTACCCGATGGGAGTATTATACAGTGGGGAAATCGGACTTTGCGACTGGGCCTGGAACTTTGAGGTATGTGAATCCTTTCAGCTGTGTTATCCAAGTCTCAAACTGCCAGTACACAGCCCCAGCCTTGTGGAGAAATCTTTTATCGCCTACAAAAATTCCGGAGGCTCTGGGCTTCCAGACAACAATGGCTGGTGGTGCCAGCCAAAAGAGAAAGAAGTGCACCGCTGGCGGATCGGAAAAGCTTGGCGTGAATCGGAAGGCTGCCAGGCCTGGGTGTACTGGTGGTTGAATTGAGAATGATCACGAGTCTTGGTCCCTCCCCTGTTATCTGTGGAAGAAAACCAATGTTTCGCACTATCTTCTTTTTGTAATATCTTGTGCCGGATGATCTCACAAAGCTCGATTCAAATGTACAACCTGCGTTCATTATGCTTCACAGTGAGTCCCCTCTTAACGGATCCCTTTCTTGAAACACACAGAAATCACGGGAATTTTCCTGGTTGCTGTGGGGAGTGTTACTTGCTGCCTCAATGCGTTAGGGAGTGTTACTCACTGCCTCAATGCGTTATTGAGCATCACTGAAATCTTCCTTCAAGCTGAGTATTGGTTTGAGTTCTGCGTAATTCGAAACACAATGTTGCAAGTGATTCTGCAGGCTCATTCTTATCAAACAGTGGTCAATTTCTTCCTCTGTGTTGTGGTCCGCCATCTCTCAGATGTGCCAAATAGTCATTAGTAGTGACTGCAACACTACTCGAGGGGCTGCTGTGTTCACAATGACTGTGCATTTCGGTGTTCCCTGGTGCTGACAGGTCATCCTCAAAGTGACGCTTGGACTCTTGATGGTGCTGTGCACTTACAGTTTGCAGGGCTGTACTACAAACTGATGGTCCACTTTGGTCACTGCTGTATGTGTGGATAGCCCGGCTAGTGTTGTCCCGCTGCTTGGCAACATGCCCTGCTCGTCTTGCATTGCCTTGCATTGCCTTGATTCCCAGGTGGTGACAGACAGTTCGTCAAAACAGTGGGCGTTGCTTGCTTTCCCTCTGTCTGTATGACATTGTGTGTGTGTTACACCACACACAAACACACACACATCCGCTCACTCACAGTCACACACATGCATGCACAGGTGCACACTCACGCACACAGTTTCAGCTTCGGGCATGCAGGTTTTGTGTGTGAGTGACACTGAGTGTGCAATCACCTGCAGGGGTTAACAAAAGTCCACACATAAACAAACACACATGCACACAGTGTCACACCCTCGTGTGACTGCACAGTGCACTTAAATTTATTCATGTGCAATTGCACAATCATGTGTGGGCAACAGTACTACTACGTGAAAACATGAGCACACAAGTAACGAAAATATGGGTGCATGAACACAAGTGTGATTGCTGAGGCATGTCTGCACATTCATGCACACATCCTCGTAATGTGGTTTTGACTCTTGAGGCCTCCTGTTCACTGGTGGAGCTTACTGTGAAATGACAGGATCTGGGAACACGGGCTGACTTCTATCCTCTGTGGCCCTCCTGTGATCAGTGTCACTGTACTGCAGCCACAGATCCTGTGGGATTATGGGAGACTCAGTTTTCCATTTAGGGATTAAGATCCTATGGGATTATGGGAGACCCACTTCTCCATTTAGGGATTAAATAGTGATTACACCAGGAAGTTTGCTATACTATTTTCTTGTCCACAATGATGCATGGGTCCTGGAGACCATCTCACACAAGTGTGTACATGCCATGCATCGTACTCCCACACACAACGAACAGTAGTCTGATAATAGACAAAGGTAGAGAAGATGAGAACCGAGTTTCACAGCTTATATTATCAAAAATATGAATACAAATTGATTCAAAGTTTCCCTGAGTCCAGCGCTCATCAGCGCAACACCAATATCTTGCCAACTCATCAATATG